TGAAAGTGAAACTCATATGGAATGTATATGGAGCTACAGAAGATGCCACAATTTTTGCTTCAACTATCAGTCTTTTTCTTTTTCATTTTTTAAGATTTTATGTATTTTTTTTTTGAGAGAGAGAAAGACAGCAACAGAGGGAACACAAGCAAGGGGAGTGGGAGAGGGGAAGAACAGGCTTCCCACAGAGCAGGGAGCCCGATGCAGGGCTCGATTCCAGGACCCTGGGATCATGACCTGAGCCGAAGGCAGACACTTAATGACTACCACCCAGACGCCCCCAAACATTATTTTTCAAACGTAAGAGAATGACAGTCTGTCCTTTCCCCCCTTATTTTCATTCATTTTATTGTTCTTTTCTTCTTCCTGATGATTCCAAGTTTTGTTCTACTGTTATTTCATTTTTACTTGGAGAATATTCTTTAGTCTTTCTTCGAGGTACATCGGCTAGTAACAAATATTTTCAGTTTTCTTTTGTGTAAGAATGTCTTGATTTCGGGGTGCCTGGGTGGCTCAGTGGGTTAAGCCTCTGCCTTCGGCTCAGGTCATGATCCCAGGGTCCCGGGATCGAGCCCCGCATCGGGCTCTGCTCAGCAGGGAGCCTGCTTCCCCCTCTCTTTCTGCCTGCCTCTCTGCCTACTTGTGATCTGTCAAATAATTAAATAAAATCTTAAGAAAAAAAAAAAAAGAATGTCTTGATTTCTCTTTCACCCATGAAGGATATTTTCATTGGCTATAGAATTCTGATTGAACAGTTTTTTCAGGACTTGAAAATATTGTGCTACATACTCTGGTCTTGGTAGTTTCAAATGAAAAAAATGCACTGTCAATCATTATACCGTAAGCTAGTTTTTTTTTTTTTTCTATCTGTTTTCAATATTTTTTCTGTATTTAATTTTCAGGAGGTTGACTGTGAAGAGTCATGGTGTTGATATCTCTGAGTTTATCCTACTGAAAATTCAGTTTCATCAATCTATTTGTTTATGCTCTTCATCATATTTGGGGATTTTTCCATCCTTATTTCTTAGTTTATTTTTTCATTATTTTTCAGTACTCTCTCCTTTCCTAAGACTCCAATGACAGAAATGTTAGATCCTTCCTTGTAATCACACAGGTCCCTAAGTCTCTGTTCATTTTTTTTTCCTATTTTTAATCATTTCTGTCTTCAAGTTTATTGGTTCTTCTCTTTCCTATTCTGCTACTGAGCCCTAGTCAGTGATTTTTGAACATTTTCAGTTGTATTTTTTCAGTTCTAAAAACTTCATTTGGTTCTTTTTTCTATCATCTGCTTCTTTCCCACGGTTGTCATTTGTTTCAAGAGTGTTCAGAATCTTTTGTTGAATGATTTTTATAACTGCTTTAAAATCCTTTTTAGGAAATTCAAACTTCTGTGTCATCCCACTGTTGCCATCTATTAACTGTTTTGCTAGTTCAAGGTTTGATTTTTTTTTTTTTTTTAATTCTGGATATTTGGGGTATTAGTTTTAAGATTTCTCTAACTTACTGAATCTTCCTTTCAAGCAAGCAGTTAAAATGTTTACATTTGGGGTGCCTGGGTGGCTCAGTTGGTTAAGCAGCTGCCTTCAGCTCAGGTCATGATCCCAGAGTCCTGGGATCGAGCCCCGCATTGGGCTCCCTGCTCAGCGGGAAGCCTGCTTCTCCCTCTCCCACTCCCCGTGCTGTGTTCTCTCTCTCAGTATGTCCCTATCAAATAAATAAAATCTTTAAAAAAAAAATTTTTTTTTTAATGTTTACATTTAATACGCTGGTTCTGTCCTTCTTATATGGCTATGACTCTACGACAATTTAGTTTCTGGACCCTATGCCGCATTATTTTGGTCTGTTTCCTTTATAACCTGCCAAAAGCACATCTAGAAACCTGGGAGTATTCCACACTGTGTTTCAGTTATCAAATCTTCTGCTCTGTTAATTCTGGTCAGTTTTTCACATGGGTCACCAGAGAATATGGCCAAGGCTTCATTTATTAAATCCCTTTCTCCAGCTCCCTGTCTCCAAAATCCTACCACCATTCTCTAGTTAGGAGGAAGAACATCACCTGCCACCACTGGACACTCTACACTGGGACAGAAATCCTTCCTTGGCCTCTTTACCACCCTGCTGGGGAAACTGAAACACTGCTTCACTGATGCTGGTATGAGGGTGGAAGTTCAGGCTCCTCACTTACCCTCACTGACAACGTCCCAAAGTGGGGAGCAAAATGATGCCTCACACTATCTCAGTGCCAAGTAGGAGGTAAGAATATAGATTCTCCATTCACCATAACCCATTCCCCCCCAACTCCCACCAACACACACAATGGCATCACCTCTGCTCCTAGTGAAAAATCACCTTGGTAGTGTAAGGCAGGGGAAGACATTCAAATATCCTACTTGGCCTCTACCGATACCACCCCAGCAGGTGAAGCAGCCTGCTACCCCCATGTAGAGGGTAGAAAACCAGGCTCTGCCCTTGGTGTCTACTGATACCACACCAGCAGAGGAAATAGAGAGTAGTCTCTTACCATTGGGCAGAGGGTAGAAATTCCAGCTCTCTGTTCAAGGCTCACTGATGCCACCTTGGTTAAGGCAGCAGAATATTGCATCACATCCTATCATTGCCATACATAGGGGGTAGAAGTTCAGCCTACCCACTTGGCTTCTGGTGACACCACTTTGGTGTAGGAATGAGAATGCAGCCTGCTACCACCAAGTAGGAGGTAGAAATCCAAGTTTCCCATTCAACTTCTGCTGGTACAAATGTGGGGTGGGAGATTTCCATCATCTCTGGCTAAACTAGGACAGATATTGTCAAAAAGAACATAGCAATGAGGGGCGCCTGGGTGGCTCAGTGGGTTAAGCCTCTGCCTTTGGCTCAGGTCATGATCCCAGGGTGCTGGGATCAAGCCCCGCATCAGGCTCTCTGCTCGGTGGGGAGCCTGCTTCCTCCTCTCTCTCTGACTGCCTCTCTGCCTACTTGTGATCTCTCTGTCCAATAAATAAATAAAATCTTAAAAAAAAAAAAAAAAGAAAGAACATAGCAATGAGCCCCTGATCCACATCTCTAACCATTCATCAGTCAATGGACATTTGGCCTCTTTCCAATAATTTGGCTATTGTTCATAACGCTGCTTAAACATTGGGGGGCATGTATCCCTTCAAATCAGTATTTTTGTATCCTTGCAGTAAATATCTAGTAGTGCAATACCTGGATCATAAGATAGTTCTATTTTTAACTTTTTGAGAAACCTCCATACTGTTTTCCAGACTGGCTGCACCAGTTTGCATTTCCATTAACAGTTTAAGAGGGTTCCCCTTTCTCTGCATCCTCACCAACACTTGTTTCCCAAGTTGTTAATTTTAGCCATTCTAACAGCTGTGAGGTTAAAAAATATTTTCTTAATATTCATACTTTTCTATACGAACTTAACTATGGGAAAGAACACCACTAAAAGAGAACAAAAAGAAGAGATGGGTAGAGTGGGTCTACCACCCACAGAGAAGACATGAATGAGGGGCTTACTGCTATGTTCCCATCAGGCCCACATGAAGCCCAGAGGGGATGACAAGTGAGAATGAGTCCAATCCCTGGCCATAGGAACATCAATCTCTGTTCTAAGCATCTAGGCACACACCTCTCTCTTCTGCTGACCTCTGCTTCACCAGGTAAGAGGATTTGATTTTCCCCACCCTCCTAACCAGTGCTATGATGAAATTTTATCTTTCACCTTCCTACAACCACTGCTGCTACTACTGCCATCCTGCTACTCATCTTCTCATACCATATACACTCTCCATACTGGGAGACGTGACTTCACTAAGATGAGGAAAAGACATGTAGGACATGGTCTGCATATTAACACATCCTAATTAGGTCCTCCTCGACACCAAAACCAAAAACCAAAACAACAAAAGGCTCATTTGTCTCAGAAACGCTTAGCTCTAAAGGATCTGAGGGACCTAAGGCTCCTTCCACTTAACATATAAGCTGTCAAGAACCTGATGCTGCCCCTCCAAGATACTGCCCGGATTCTGGGGCACCGGTAGAGAGACAAAGCAAAAGAGGACTGTGAGAAGGATAAGAGGGAGAACTTAGAGAGCTCTCTGAAGTAGCTATCAGAGGAGCTTCTTTCAAGGACAGACCTCAAATGCAAGTGTAAAAAAATGATACGGGAGCAGAGCTTGAGTTGTTCAGTCAGTTAAGCATCTGCCTTGGGCTCAGGTCATGATCCCAGGGTCCGGGGCTCAAGTCCCACATCACGCTCCCTGCTCAGCAAAAAGCCTGCTTCTCCCCTTGCTTGTCCTCTCTCACTGCCAAATTAAAAATAATACATACACACATACACACACACACACACACACACACACACACACAATTTATTTTTTTTAATGATGTGGGACATTTCTCTGGCTATCACATGAGTTCATTATCCATCTCAAGTTTAAGATTGGGCTGCATTTCTGCCTTTTTTGTCCTTCTCATTCCCTTAGTTTGACACAAATTTAGAACTGGAGGAAACCTCAGCCATCCTCTTGTTCCACCCCTGTGCTATACATTTAGGAACATGAACCCTGGAACAGGGAATACATTTGCTACATGTTCAAAGGACATGGACAAGGATCAAGGCTTCCTTCCCAGCCTACCTCCTCTGTTCTTTAAGCTTGTGTCTAATCCAAGTGAAATTAAGGAGATTTGTGTTTTAATCTCTAATTCCCTCACTCTTGTCTGTAAAAATGAAGAGTATGATTGTCTCTGCTTTGTGCCTCAATTTCCCCAAACATATAATGCAAAGTTAGATCCTAAACAATGAAATGCTCCCAGCATTTGTTTATTTTTTTTAACTTGTCTATAAAGGATTACTTATTTGGCATTAACTACCCTTTGAATTATTTTATAGTATTATTATCATAACCCCATGTACATTTTAACAGCTTCAGGCAGAAGTGATTCCCTTCAAGGCTGTCCAGTAGGCTTACTAACTCCCTGGAAAGAGTATCACACACCTTGTCTTCCTTTGAACTCTCCACTTCTGCCCCCTCCTTGAATTTTGCCAGAGCACTCTTGAGGTCCTGAGATGTGTAGGTGTTAGTGTTGATGTCCAGCCTGTCCAAAGAGAAAGTGAGAGTCAGGAAGGAGGCACCATCTTTCCCAAGGAAAAATCACCCCCACCCCACCACCACAGGGGCTGGCACTCCAAAACAAGGTAAGCCAGGCCAGCTCTAACTCAGACTGCACCACTCTAGCTTTGCCTTTGGTCAGCCACAAGCAAACAGGTAGTCTTACCTTGAAGCTAGAGGAGAAAATACACAGTTGAAGATGGTGTCATTTCATGAAAGAGGAGGAAATGCCATGAGGCAGACAGAGGCCTACCATGGAGAGAGAGCTCTCAGCCAGCTACACAGGCAGAAGTATGCCTGGAATGTCAGTGTGATGCTGTTCTGGCAGCATGTGACAGGCAGGACCTCCTGGAGGATAGTGGGCACAAAGGGTACAGCAAGCACCCTATTTATATTCTTCTAGTAAAGGGACCAATAGGGACCGGAGCACCCCCCTATATGGGCCTGGTCTGATTTCACAAGGCAATCTTTCTTCACAAAAAAAGGCTGGATAAAATCACACCTTTAAAACCAACTCCTGGGGGCGCCTGGGTGGTTCAGTGGGTTAAAGCCTCTGCTTTTGGCTCAGGTCATGATCCCAGGGTCCTGGGATCAAGCCCAGCATCAGGCTCTCTGCTCAGCAGGAAGCCTGCTTCCTCCTCTCTCTGCCTGCCTCTGCCTACTTGTGATCTGTCAAATAAATAAATAAATCTTTAAAAAAAAAAAATGAAAAAAAAAATGAAACCAACTCCTGGGCACAGAGAAAATGCAGGAGGTATGTGTCAATCTGACCAAGGAATAAGTTTGAGATATTGAGGACTAGACACAAAGCCAACCATCTTCCAAAGTCGGCCTCTGAGGAGAGGGAAGGAAAGAAACAAATGTGGATGTCATCTCAAGAACTGGGCCAAAACTCAAGTGGCATCTTCTCAAAGCCCCCTAGAGCTGATCCAAGCTGTGACTCTTCTTCTTGAGAGAAGGCATTCATGGGATGGGGTGGGTTTTGCCACCAATGGTGACTTCTGATCAGTGAACAAAGAGGTAAGACTAAGAGTAACATAGACAAAGGAAGTGTGGAATGTGGTCTGTGCTTGACAAGACTATCCAGCTCTGGGCAGGGGAAGGGGGTGGCGGGGTGGTTTAAGGATAGCCCAGGAGATATATACAGGTGGGGAAGGAAGGGGCTAATGGGCTGCTCTGGGCAAGATAAGCATATCAGTCTAAAAGTCAAGATGTCAGCAGGCCTTAGTGCCTATGAGAGGCACATGCTCTTAGGGCTTTGCTCATTTAGTCTTTGATTCATCCTAGAAACCTCTTAGAGCCCTGAGAAAAATGCTTGTCTTCTCTAAACCTCAATCTTCATAAACTAATTAATAATAGCTAATCACTCCCATTTACTGAACACTTAACCATGTGTCAGTCACTGTTTTAATCCTTTAAAAGTATTATTTCATTCAACTGATCACCACAATCCTACATGGTAGGGAAGATGACCCCTCTTTCAGAAGAGCATCACCCACTGATAGTAGCATGAGGAAGCCACTGCCCTGCCCCTTATCCCTAAGACAGAGGTAAGTATTTGGGGACACAGCCTGAACGGATTACCCCCTCCCTCCTCTAAGACTTGGTCGGAACAAATCCCATCATGCTAATAGCTCTATTCACTGCCTTAAGTGCAGCTCTTCCAGGCCACTTGCCATGATCCATTCTCAGCCCAACCTACACACACATACAAGTGTGCGCATGTGTGACTGCACACACAGACATCAAATCATCTTCAGCTGGTATGCCCACTTCATTCTTCACTCAGAAAAATAGATGCTATCATCAAGAATGCCTTCACATCCCACTCATCCCTCTATCTACCAACCTGCACCAAATATACACTGTCTGCTTTCCCCTCTACAGCAAAGGGTTACAGTGTCCCTGCTCCTATTAAACTTAAGTTCCAGGTTCCACTTCCCTTTTCAAAAGTTTTTACTCCCATAATTATACTGCTCCCTCTTGTCTGCATCTTCATTTTCTCTCTCTGGTTGGATTACTCCTTTGAATATACCAATACTCTTTTGACTCCAGGGTCTCTAATTATCATGCCATTCCCCTTCTCCTCTTCAGAGTAAAACTTTATAACGCATTGTCTTCACTCACTATTCTCGTCTTCATGACTTCTACCTACACTGCCATTTGCTCTAATCCGGATTCAGTTCCCACAGCCTATTAAAACTTCTCATCAAAATTACTAAAGTAATTGACCACCAGATCCCATGGACTCTTCACTCATGTCAACCTTCTCAACCACTGTGTGGCATTTACAAAGTTCACCCCCACCTTTTTGAAACACCCTCCTTCCTAGCTTCTTGTTACTACTTTCTACTGCTGCTTCCCCTTCCTTCCTCCTTCTCTGACTCTCTTCTTGGTTCCTCATCTCCTACTGAACCCTATATACTTGATTGCTTTGGAGTTCAATCCTGAACAACCTTCTCTATTTCCACATTCTCCACTAGTTCTTTTAAAATACCTGTCAGGCCGGGCACCTGGGTGGCTCAGTTGGTTAAGCATCTGCCTTCAACTCAGGTCATGATCTCAGGGTCCTGAGATCAAGCCCCATGTCAGGGTCCCTGCTCAGCAGGGAGTCTGCTTCTCCCTCTTCCTCTGCCCCTCCTCAACCCACTGCTCATGCTGTCTCTCAAAAAATAAAATTTTTTAAAAAATTAATTAAGATAAAATAAAATATCTGTCAGGCAACGATGCCCAAATTTATATCTTTGACCAATCCTCTCCCCTGAGTACCAGCCAGACTGTGGTACAACTACCTGATGTATCATGGATCTCAGATATTCATCAGGCACCTCAAATTTACTACATGTAAAACATAGGTCTTGATGTTTCTCCCCATCAATCTGCTCCTTTCTCAATCTTTTCTATTTCAATAAATGGTACTTCTAAGAACCTACTTGTGTTAAATCCCAAAATGAGGCTTTATCTCAAATACCTCCCCACTACCTTCCTTCAACCCCTAAATTTTTATAAGCAAGTCCCGCTGGCACCACCTCCAAATTAAATCTCCACACCCAACCACTCTCCATCATGACACTCTAGACTAAGCCACCATTATAACTTCCCTGATCTACTGAAATGACACCCTAATTGTTTCTTTGTGCTGCTTCTTTCGTCCAACCTCAATCTACTCTCCATACACACAGCAACTAGACTGAATTTGCTAAACTACATCATATTTAACTACTCTCCCACCCCAAATCCTCCACTGGCTTTCCATTACAATTCTACTTAACTGAAGACTGCTCAACATGCACCTCCAAACTTCACATGATCTGGCCCCTCATGAGGCCAAAACCATCTATTATGCTTCTTTCTTCTCCTACTCTCTAGTCACCCTGGTCATTTTCCTATTTCCCAAACTTGATGGAGTCTCTTCCTTGACAAAGCTGGATATTCTTCTTTTTCTCTCTGCCTGAGATGCTCTAACCTTAACTCTGTAAAATTAACTCTTTGCATGACTAAATCCCAGTCATTTTTCAGGTCTCATTTTAAATATCACCTTAATGAGTCCTTCCAAAATCATCCTACTTAAAGTGGACTTCCCTAGGGACTGATTACCTTGCTTATTTCTTCCCTACTTTCTACCACTATCTGTAATTAATTCTCTTGCATTTTAATTTTTCTGTTTTTCTGCCTGCCAGCCCAACACTGGCATCCTGTTTCATTTACTACTATATCTCCAGTACATGGCACATATGCACTCAATAGATCTTTTGTGAAATTAATGAATGGAGCAAGGAAATGGCTCTGTCTTTGGCCCACTCCCTTAATCACAATGCTGTATTCTACCATGTTAATGCTCAACTCAAGATGGGAAAACCTGGTTGTACACTGTCCTTCATCCCTCTGAACCGAAGACAGTGATTCAAAGAAGATGGTTGTTCCAGGGCAAAAAAGACCGATACAATCTTGGGATGTTGACAGGGATATGAACTAAAACCAGTGGAGCTGACAATGCCTAAGACATAAATAGCAAGAGAAAACCCAACTGCTAGGAACCAAATATATACTGAAGGCAGTGCCAGGAGAGGCCTCTGAAACAAGTCAGAGTCAGATGCCTTATCCCAGATTTTAGAGCCCAGAGTCATTACAGCTCTAGTTAACAGTGTGGCCAGTCATATATCCAGCAGAACTGGTGGACAGGCTGCCATTGCATGCTAAATGGACCATACCCATCTCTCCTTGGTCAGTGGTTCTAAACTCTGCGATCATCAACCTCTTTGACAATCTGATGGAAAGCTGTGGGCCTTGTCTTCTTGTCCCCTGCACAGAATGAGCAGATAAGCAAACTACTCTAAAAATTGTGGAAATGAGCACTGCCCTTTGGCCACCATTCCCATTCTGGTACTGAAGAGCCAGGAAGACAATTTTAAGTAGAACTGGAGGAGCTCAAGATGAGGTCCACAGTAGAAGGAAGAAGTCACCATCAGAGGTGGCCAGAGATTCACTGAGTTTACAGCAGTGAAACCCACACCACTTTGTCCATGGTTTTGGTTGCTGTTTAGACAAGTTTGCCACTACTAATAAATGCAGAGAAGGAAGAGGATATGTCCAATAAACCCTGGAGGCTATTCCAGACCAGAACCCTCAGAAACATTCTGAAGGAGAAAAGTAAAGAGGCAGAAATAGAACAGGTATCTCTCTCTTATGGTGTGCCTATTCCAGACCACACGAATAATTTTGATTTCTAGCCTAAAAAGATAAAAGCAACTGACAAAGCATTTAGCAATCTTACTGAAGATCTATGGTCAGGTACTGGAAAAAGAACTTTCCACAGTACTAAAATCAACAAATTCCAAGTTAATCAAGCTCCTAATTCAATATTCTTTTTTTTTTTTTTTTTTAAGATTTTGTTTATTTATTTATTTGACAGAGATCACAAGCAGGCAGAGAGGCAGGCAGAGAGAGAGGCCGAGAGAGGCAGAGAGAGAGGCAGAGAGAGGCAGAGAGAGAGGCAGAGAGAGAGGAGGAAGCAGGCTCCCTGCTGAGCAGAGAGCCCGATGCGGGGCTCGATCCCAGGACTTCGAGATCATGACCTGAGCCGAAGGCAGCGGCTTAACCCACTGAGCCACCCAGGCGCCCCCTAATTCAATATTCTTAAACCAAGAATAAAATAAGCTTTTTATTTAGAAAATAGGACTTGGCACAGAGGTGATAAAAGACCTCCTGATGTATTCTGAGACACTGATCTATGTGTGCATATATGTGTGTGCTAGGGATGGAGGGAGCTTGGCAGGGGTTACAACAGTGAAATTTTATTCTTTCTTCGATGGCTGTGAGAAATTAATCATCATATGGCCTCCAGGTATAAACCTGTCAAGAGAGATGGGGGAAGATAAAGATCCACCCCAGTTGGGAGTGACTGTGTGGAGGACAAATATCTCCTTATCACAATATATAATCAAATTTTCTAACAGTAAGAAACACCCACATCTGAGCAGGCTGCTCTGTGGGGTTGTGGGTGCCATAGGACTGAAGGTACATAAGGACAGGCTGAATAACCTTTTGTTGAATACTTCAAAGAAATGACTCAGGTAAGAATTGGGTCTCTCCTTTAACTTCTGGCTCTTATCTAACTGCAGAATATGGTTGAATAACGAAAATTCGAGGACTGAGTAACACTAACCCAGCTCAATCCATTACTGTCAATACTTGCATGCATTTAGAACAGGGGCATCAACTCTTTGTTATGACCACATAATATTTTAGGTTTTATGGGCCTTATGGTAATCATCCCAACTAACTCAACTCTGCCAGCTAATAGGAAAGTGGACACAAGCCATACATAAATGAATGAGCATAACTGTGTTCCAATAAAACTTTATTTATGGACATTGAAATCTCTAAGAGCTATGAAATATCATTCTTTTGCTATTTTCCAACCATTAAAAAATGTTAAAAACAATTTAGCTGTGGGCTGCACAAAAACAAGCAGCAGTCCCAGTATGGCCCACAGCCCATAATTTGCTGGTCCCTGTGTTAGAAACCTCATGATTGGTATTTACCACCTTTAAAATTACCCAAATCTAGCAGCCCCTGCAAACCCCATGCCTATTCCTCCCTCACATAAAAAAGAACTTGAAAGTAATACTTACTAATTCAAGGCAAAGAATAGAAAAATAGACAAATTGCCCAAAATCAAATACTCTAAACTGGTTATTAAAAAATAAAGCAATCTCTTACCATTGGAGAACTTTTATCCTGCAAGAAAGCCTGTTTAATATGGACTAACAAGAGGAAAAGTTAGTCTGAATTAAAGACTTTAAAATGCAATTTTATTGTTCACCAAGGAAGTATTACTGCAAAGCAGAAGGCCTAACAGGCCTGTTTTAATGAATAGATGACTCATCTGTAATCAGCACATTAATTGTTGGGATTCAAATGGGTGCTCTTAAAGTACCGGGAAAAATAGCTTCATTTTTAAAGCAGGTTAAGCATTCCCCCTACAGCTCTTGCTAAAGTATCAATTTGCTTTGCAAACCAATTCTTTCCGTAGATTCTACAAGTAAACTTCCACAAAACCTTGACAGATTTATCACAAATTCTATACTACTAAACTTCTAATTTTTGAAAAAGCCACAGGAATTTGGGTAAGAAACATTATATTGTCATTACTTTCAGTATTACAAAATCAATGTTGTCAACCTCCCAGTCCCTAGGGTCATCACTGTACCTTCTGCCTTTTTTCAACCCTTTCCAATTACTTCGGAACTTCTCCTCTTCTTGAAGTTTCACTTCTCTTGCCCCAGTCTGGAGATTCAGCCGCACATGGGATCCTGCAGGGACAGCCTGCCCTAAAAGCCAAGAAGAAAGAGGGCTCATGAGGCAGACAGTCCTCAAAGGGACACTGCAATGAAATGTTTGGCTAACAAGCCAACAGAATTTATTAATTCGTGAAGACCAGGTTTTGCTGTGTTCCACTGCCTGACTCCATCCATCTCTCTAACACACACACATACCTCACACATATTTTCTCCTTTTGCTAATACATATCAAATTAAGGGAGTGAGGCAGATGGGCAAGGGCATCTGCACTTCAATCAAGAGACCAATAACTCCAGTTAGAACCTGCATCTTTAAGCTATTCTGTTTTCTTTAAACTGAGCTGTAATAAGCCTTTCTGTTAATGTGCAGGTGAATAGTAAATATCTACTCACCCTTAAGGACGCGGCTACATCACTGCATCCTTCATAACATGCTTCTTGCCCCTCCCCAACAGTCCCAGACAACCCCAGCGAGCTTGACATTCCACCAAGCTTAGACCTCACCACCTTCTTTTATTCATCATCAGGCTCCTTCTGTGAGGCTCTCTCCCTGATGAGCACAGGGACTATATCTCTTCCTATTTTATTTCCCAAGCCCCCAGACCAGGGTGTGATTGGAAGGTAAGAGGATAGAGCAAGCCAAGGAGGCAGGGAATGGAATCAACAGAAACTAGAAACTAAAAATCTATGCCCAACCATCTCAGAAAAGACAATCCACTAACTGAAAAAACAAGTAATGTGAATGGATGGACTATTCATACACAGTGTACAAAATTACTCAAAGACAGCTGAAAAGCAGGTAAAGACACTACAAAAAAAGAACTACAGGCCGGTATCTCTGACGAACTCAGATGCAAAGATTCTCCACAAAATATCAGCAAACTAAATCCAACAATACATTAAGAAAGTCATTTACCATGATCCAGTGAGATTTACTCCTTGGGTGCACAGGTGGTTCAATATTTGCATATCAATGAACGGGACAGGTCACATGGACAAGAGAAAGCATAAAAACTCATTTCAAGAGATGCAGAAAAAGTATATGACAAAATACAATATCCATTCACGATAAAAACCCTCAACAAATCAGATCTAGAGGAAACATACCTTAATATAATAAAGCCCATCTATGAAAAACCCACAGGTAATATCATCTTCAATGCAAAAAAACTGAGAGCTTGCCCCCTAAGATCAGAAACAAGACAAGAACATCCATTGCTGCCACTTTTATTCAACAGAGTACTGGAAGTCCTAGCCACAGCAATCAGACAAGAAGAAGAAATAAAAGGCATCCAAATCAGTAAAGAAGAAGTAAAACTTCCACAATTTGCAGATGACATTATACTATATGTAGAAAGTCTTAAGACCACACTAAAAAATTACTAGACCCGATAAATGAGTTTAGTCAAGTCACAGGATACAAAATCAATATACAGAAATCTGATGCATTTCTATACACTAATAATGAAGTTCAGAAAGAGAAATTAAGAAAACAATCTCATTTATGATTGTACCAAAAATAATAAGATACTTAAGAATATAACTAAACAGATGAAAGACCCATGCTCTGAAAACTGTAATACTGATGAAAGATGTCAAAGAAGGGACCCTTGGGTGGTTCAGTCGGTTAAGCATCTGCTTTTGACTCAGGTCATGATCCCAGGGTGCTGGGATCAAGTCCCACAACAGATTCTGCTTTGCAGGGAGCCAGCTTCTCCCTCTGCCTGCTGCTCCCCCTGTTTGTGCACACTCACTTTCTCTCTCTCTCTGAAAGACAGATGGATGGATGGATGGATGGATGGATGGATAGATAGATAAGACATAAACAAATGGAAAGATATTCATTCCACGTTCATGGATTGGAAGAACAAATATTGTTACAATGTCCATACTACTCAAAGAAATCTACATATTTAATGTAATCCCTAACAAAACACCAAAAGCTTTTTTCATAGAGCTAGAGCGAATAATCCTAAAATTTGTGTGGCAACACAAAGACCCTGAATACCCAAAGCAATTTTGAAAAAGAAGTAAACTGGAAGTATAACAATACCAGATTTAAAGATATACTACAAAGCTGCAGTAATTAAAACAGTATGGTACTGGCACAAAAATGGACACAGAGATTAATAGAATAGTGTCCAGATAAACCCACAATTATACGGTCAAGTAATGTATGACAAAGGAGGCAAAAATATACAGTGGCAAAAAGACAGTCTCTTCAACAAATGGCATTGGGAAAACTGGACCACCTTCTTACGCTATGCACAAAAATAAACATAAAATAAATTAAGAACCTAAATGTGAGAACTGAAACCATAAAAATCCTAGAGCAGAGCACAGGCAGTAATTTCTTTGACACTGGCTGTAAGAACATTTTTCTAGATATGTCTCCTAAACCAAGGGAAACAAAAACAAAAGTAAACTACAGGGATTAGATCAAAATAAAATGCTTCTCCATAGCAAAAGAAGCAACACAACAAGATGACAACCTACTGAACAGAAGATATTGCAAGTGAGGGGTGCCTGGGTGGCTCAGTGGGTTAAGCCGCTGCCTTCGGCTCAGGTCATGATCTCAGGGTCCTGGGATCGAGTCCCGCATTGGGCTCTCTGCTCAGCAGGGAGCCTGCTTCCCTTCCTCTCTCTCTGCCTGCCTCTCTGCCTACTTGTGATCTCTCTCTGTCAAATAAATAAATAAAATCTTAAAAAAAAAAAAGATATTGCAAGTGATATACCCGCTAAGAGGTTAGTATCCAAAATACATATGAAGAACTTACACAACTCAACACCAAAAGAAAACAAATAATCCATTTGAAAAATGGGCAGAAAACTCTGCACTAGTGGTGGGAATGCAAACTGCTGCAGCCACAGCACCATTAGGAAACAGTATAGAGGTTCCTCAAAAATTAAAAATAGAATTACCATGCAATCCAGTAATTCCATTATTGAGTATTTACACAAAGAATACAAAAACTCTAATTTGAAAAGATATATGCACCCTTATGTTTACCATAGCATTATTTACAATGGCCAAAATATGGACATAACCCAAGTGTTCATCAACAGATAAATGGATAAGAAAGATGTGGTATATGTATATACAATGGCATGTTACTCAGATATAGAGAAGAATGAAATCTTGCCATTTACAACAACATCAATCTAGAGGATATAATGCTAAGTGAAATAAGTTAATCGGAGAAAGACAAATACTGTACGATTTCAACTCATATGTGGTATTTAACAAACAAAACAAACAAGAGACAAAAAACTAGACTCTTAAATATAGACAACACACTCACAGTTACTAGAGGGGAAGTGGGTGGGGATGTAGGCAAAACAGGTAAAGGGGATGAAGAGTATACCTATCATGATGAGCACTGAGTAATACAGAGACATCACTATATTGTACACCAAAAACTAATATAATACCGTATGTTAACTATACTGGAAATACACAAGAATTTTTAAAAAACATTGTTTAAAAAGCAAGTGTGCAAGATCACATACTATAAACAGATTGTTACCCAGCAACTACTATATATCAGCTACTGTAGCAGGTTCTAAGAATACAAAGAGGAATGTTAATGGCCACAGGGATAGAAAATTTTAGGGAAAGGGTTCAAGATATTAGAAATCTAGAAGAAATCCTGCTCTGTGCTTTCTCCTGCCAGAGGATGGCATGGCCTTGCTGATGCTGAATTTGATTCAAGGATCAAAAAAGGATGACAATATTTTTAAAATTCCTTTAAGGGAAGCATATAGCACGAGTTCTCTCAGAACTCAGATCAGGTAAATCTTAAGTATAAAAAGGTAATGAGGTAGCAAGATTTCAAGTTTTCTCAATTCTGGCAGAACCACAGTGAACTCCCAAGTTCTACTGACCACTGTGTCTCCACCAGAGAACTAAAGAGCCGGGGAAACACCATGCCAAGACAAGCTGTTCGGTTCTTGTTGCCCCCACTTCAGTAGGGAGTTTCTGTATCTTAGGCTAAAAAAATTAATGGGAATTTAAGTACATGAGTATATGTATATAACCATCGTCTTCTAACCTCAAAAGCAACCAAAATGCTTCAAGGTTAAAAAAAAAAAAAATGCCCAAAGTAGAGTGGGGAAAACTTCCTCTGGGGAGGCTTCCTGAATAAGGTTAAACTAGCGGTTGAATGAGGCAAAAAGGCTGGGAAAATAGGGAATCCAAAATAGAGCTGTGCGTGCAAAGACTCAGACACACAAACTGACAGGCTACCTTCAGGCAGCCAGGAGCAAACGAATCAGGGAGAACTGGAAAGACTGTGGAGGCAGCTGAGGACAAGATGAGGCCAACTGGTGGCAAAAACAAGGAACTAGCAACTTCTATGCTTTTCCCAGGATCATGGGGCAAGAGGTATCTTCTTCAGCATTAATCTCTCCATGTGTGAAGGCAAGAGGTTGTCTCACCTGGAGAGATCCCAAACTGACAAAACAACAGAGTATCTTCCTGGCCTAAAGGCTAATAAGCAGGCCATCCTTGATATTTCCTTTACCTCACCATCCCCCATACCCAATGCATCTCTAAAACCTAGTGATTTTTCCTGTTACAACGTCTCTTGAATTCATTCTATCCTCCTCACCACTACTCTTGTCCAAACCATCACCATGTCTCTTCTGGACAGTGCCACAGCCTTCTAGTGGACTCCCTAATCCATTCTTAGCTCCTGGTCCAACTGTTCTTTACAAAAAACAGTTTGAGGGTTTTTTGTTGTTGTTGTTTGTTGTTGTTGTTGTTGTTGTTGTTTTAAATACAAATCTGACTATGTCATTACCTTGTTTCAAACCTTTTAAGGGCTTCTGACTTCTCTCAAAATAAAGTTGAAAGTCCTCATGGTGGTCAATGAGGCCCGTTAGTATCTAGCCCCTGCCTGCCTTTTCAGCCCTGTCCACTCCCCATTCTCCTTTTTCCATTCCATGAAAGAAGCTTGTTTATTCCTACCATGGGGCCATTCCACTTGCTGTTCACTTTGCCCAGAAGGTTCTTTCAAACCCCAGCCTCCC